CAAGTCGCGGGTACCAAGTGATCTTTCGTATCTATATAATCGCGATCGAACACAAAGCATCTCTTATCATTCTGGAAGAGAGAAGTGCATTTCGCTCGTCAACCATCGTTTGATCGCGCAAAGTGATTTAACCTTCCATTCGCGGTTTGTGCGGACGAATTGATATATCCCGTCGACACGCAGCGGACCAATGTGATACCATTAAAATTCAGCGTTTCTGTCGGAAGATTTAATGGCGACGCGAACGATAGTTCATCGCTGTAACGATGTCTGGTTGATAGGTCGGTTTACCGGGGAACCACCACTCTCGTGACTGCTGGGAACTTCACTTGATGTAGATATCAGCGTAATCCTGGTTAATCTTCGATTCAAAAGCTCGCGGACTGTGATAGGCGTACGACGGGGAATTCATCACTTGCACGTATAACACCGAAAAAGGTATAAAGGCTCGACTCCGATCGTGGGCTTTTCCACACGGTCGATCTCGCGCGGCTGCGAGTACGACGCAATCGGCACGATTTTTTCGACTGAACTCCGACGATGATGTAAGACAGTGATCGCGTCACGTCGACGATTTCGAAACTGGACTGTTCGGCGTCGATAGGGACAGAAGTGCCAATCGAACCGTAGAGCCGTGCGAAAGTGTCATCGACCTGTCAAACGTGTCCTGTCACGTAAACGTATATCCATCGTAGATCGTACGCTATTCTACAAGGGAAACCGCGAGAATTTGTGGCGAAACGACGTGCTTGAATCGTTATTGCAGCTAGCCGGTCGTAATTCGTACGATTTACAATGCATGGACTGAGATGACACACCGTGGCGGAGACTCGCAGCTATGTCTACGGTGATCGTTGGGTGAGTTACGACGATTTCATCGCCACGTTGACATGTCTCTCGCCGTCCTCTGAGACATCCTTTGGATTCCAATCTACAGCCAATGAATCGGTAACGAAGAGACTCAGGGAAATCGTTACTTTTATCGCCGATCGTAATCCTTTCCATTGTCACCGCATCGAGGTGGGAACTTGAAGAAACTCGAGAATTTTTAGGATCTTCCATGAAATGTCACGCTTATCCGTTTTTTTCATACTCTTTCCTCAAAAGAAAATGACGTGCGCGCGTTTGCGTATCTCCTCTGCAACTTTATTATCTTTTTTTTTCTTCTTCTTTTTACGTACACTCGGCTATTAACGGATATCGGTACAAAACGTAAGTGACGAACATTAACTGGATGCTGCGTCACGAAGTGCGCCAACGCGGCGCGTGACGCGCGCATGCCGTTCATGCGTGTCGGAATTTGTCACGGTCGGATTTCACGACGTCCCGGAATTTCGCGACTCTTCGGAATTCCGTGACGCGGCCACGTGTATATATACCTCCGACCGCGCGGAGTCCGGTTCGGTGGCGCGTGTGCGCATGCATCCAGCCTCTATTTCTCCATGCGATCGGTATCGATACGCGTGAAAGCTGACCCCCTCCTTTTCTCATTATCAGATGACGAAGGATACGGTCGACGCGATCTTACAAATACTTTAATTGGCGTTTTTTAATTGGTCACACAATTTGTAAAATTCTGTTTCTTTTTAATTGGTCCATTAAATTTTCTAGTTACTGTAACCAGAAATTCTGTTAAATCGTTATTTAAATCTCTCGAAAATTTGGTAAATTTATAAATTTTAAATATAATATTAGAAATAAATAAAAGTGACAATAATTAAATTGATATTTAATATCGGAACTGCCGCTAGAACTGTCGGAAGTGTCGATTTAGTAATTTTCTGTCCTTATTTTCTGTTCATGAAGGTTTTTTGATATTATTTGAGTATCATATTTAAATGCTATCAATATTTTGGTACTGTATATTTAACACGATGCTTGGTTTAGCGCGTCGAGACACTACCGTGTCTCCCGATATAAAAAAGAAAACAGATGGAAGGATTAGCGAAACCAAAATGACATACCGACCACGATTATTTTAGCGTTGAAATAATTCGCGTGGTAAACCAAGAAATATCACTCGACGCGGTCGCGATTAAACGTGCAGAGATAGTCTAGACTGGAATTCTTTATCCTCGGCACTCTTTCCGTCCCGATGACACGTGAAACATCTCACGGACACTTTTCCTCCTTACGTAAAACATCCCGGGAGATCCGAATGTTAATATATCTCCGCGCCTTTCGATGGCGCACCGCCGACAGTTACCTTCGTCGCGGTACATCGTGCGTGTATTACCGCATCCGAGGTGATCCACGGCTGTTAATGAAACGGCTAGCAAGAGGTTGTCAGCGGGATGTCGTTGTGACTAAGTTTGCAATTATGTAAACCGGCATCCCGGCGAGTGGAATACTCGTACACCTTGATTTAGAGACGGTGGTCTTCGCTGATGTGAAAATTGAAAAATCGATATTGACGCTGCTGACGCAAATTAGATACTTTGGAATGTGGCACGATACGTTCTACAAGTGGCTCTCACTAGTATTAGAAGAGTGCCGAGAGTGCTCGGATAGCAATAAAACGCACCTGATCTATTTATATATAAATTCTTTCTCGCATAATAAAATTTTTATAACATAAATATTATTATCTCTATTTTTGATGAAAGTTATTCTAAATATACTATAATTGGGTGTGTTATTATATTGAATCAAGTTGACGATTTGCAATGTATTATATATTAATCGCGAATATTAATTCTTATCTTTTCCGTTTATAAATAAGGTAAAAAGGATAAAGAAGGAAAAGGATAAAGAATAAGTTAGACCTACATGTTTATGTAGATTGAAGCTAATCTAAATTGGTGAAAGTAAGAACGTTAGACTTCTTTTGGAGGCGTTTGATTTTTACGGAAGAATCTTTTATAGTTCAAATCAAATATGAATCATTTCTTTACGCGTGCGGCAGCAAATGCCGAATTCAGTTGTGCATCGAGAGTAACCACGCCGCTGCCACCAGTCACGCCAATGCAATTAAACCTCGAAACCCGAGCCGGCTGCGTACAACTACGCCGCGCTCCGCGCTACGAGTGTTACGACCCGATGTATATCGCGCGGGGAGTGCGTGGCACGATGAAGGCAAGGAGCCTTGGCGAAATCCGTATCGTGAACTTGTCTTCCAGTCGCAGATTTTCTACGCGAACGGAATAATTCCTACGGAAGTTGCACCGTGCAATAAAAATTATATCTAACTGGCATTTAATCACAACGCGATCTTGTAAAAGATACGTTGCCGTAGAGGGGAAGAGGGATAACGATGAAGACTTGGAGGTTTTCAAAAATGAAGGACGTCGTGCGTCTTCTCTCGACAGAGATAAAGTGAATATTTTAAGTGAATCGGGGCCGCCCAGCGGCATTCCACGCGGTGCACCGAGAGAGTGCATTGAAGAGACGAGGTAGGCGGGATGAGGCGAAAGAAAGGCATGTGTTTGGTCCACCCCGCGTTACCATGGGCGAGCCAATAATCTGCAGTCGAATTAAAAGCGAGCGAGGAGCGAAAGCTCGTAGCAGCGCGACCGCTGTTCACCTGTGTACTTGTAACACGAGATGCATTTGCATTGCGCAACTGCTTGCGGTCCGTATGTAACTGGGTTATCATATACAACCTGCGGCGCGGCACGCCGCGTCATTATTCTACGATTCTCCACCGAGCCTTTCTCACTCACGTTGGTAATATATCGATGATTTTACGTGAGATCATTCGTATCATTGCTTTGCCGCTAGAACAGTATGTCTGTATTTGGAAAATAATCTATAATTTTACATATTTTAAAATTCAATTTTAAAGTTTGAACATTATTAAATATTAGAAATAAATAATTTAATACGAGGATTCTTTTTGCTAACGTAACACTAGAAATTGTTCGTCAAATTAGTTATAATTTAAAATACAATTGTAAATAAATTTAACAAATTTTTATAATAAAATTGTAATTAATTTGACGAACAATTTCTGTACGTTTATGTCACACAACTATATGGAAGTTTTTTTATTGGACTGAGACGGTATTGCTTGCTTACTTTTACTACATGATTATTTATTCTCTACTAAAACACCGAGAAATTATCTATATTTGTTCGTCCAATTGTTTGCAAGTAGTTTCGGGTTCTTCATGAGACGCTGACTAAACCATACAACGCAATTATAATCCATATACTTTGCACGTCGACAACTTACACTCATTACTGCGAATCCAACTAATTGTCTGAAGAAGACTCAATCCGAATATGTAATCTTTTTTTAAATTATTTATATATCTAATTATATTTCCTTCAATCTTTATGTAAATCGGTTTTATAACGTTATATTATCAAAAAGAATTGACTCTTACCTTTTTATTGTTTATATTGTTGTTAAACAAGTATTAGATTTGTAATATTACTACTCTAGTTCTATATTAGAATTGCATTTCAAGACTGAAAATTAAGTTTGCTGGGTTTGTAGGATTGGAGATATGTATAATAGTTATAAATATATAAATTCACTGAATAACACTGAATAATTTAAGCACTAAAAATCTATAAAGATTTAACCGTTCAGGGCCTTTATTTCCTATTTGTTGATATTAAATTTGTTTTTTTATTGTTGCATTGGACTACATTATAAAACTTATTTTCTTGCTTTTGCAAAATATTAAACATAATACCTATTTCGCTTTAAGTACAAAAAGTGTACACTTTAGTTTAGCTATAAAAACAGATCTATATAATTTAATTTTCGAATTTATCAAAAGTGCAATCATCGTCATTTATTCTTAGTTTTAACAACCATATAATTTAAAGATTTTAATAAGCACATGATTTATGTGTTCTCGGTACAATCTATTTGTACCATCATTTTAGCGCTAATTATCCCGTGCACAGGTTTGCTTATCAGTTACAACTTATCGAATACACCTTGTATTTTCAATTTGTGCGATTGGAAATAGTAATGATTACACACACACTGTGCGCGAGTTTGCTATATAATCACACGAAATTTATTTGCATACATGATTGCTTAGAATCGCCGCAAATTGGATGAAACGGACTTATTGCATATTCCATTCGTGTTCCGATCGATACTTTTAACTAACGGGTGTATTTTTGTTGTTTCTAGGTTACCACAGCTTGCCGTTTTAGCGAAGATTTTGTGCCTCCTGATGGTGAGTATTTCCACATGTAATCTCTTTATAACATTTATAGAAATTGTGTCCCTCTATTTCGAGATACAAATACATGTATTTTTTTAGAAATTATAATAAATATTAGAGAAGATTATATTAGAGGAAATACGAGTGACTACGATATCTACCTATCATAATTGATTAGTTAATATCGCTTTGTTTTGTAATTTATGGAGTTTTGAAAATATATATCGAAAAATTAAATGTAAAAGCTCAATACCAGCGTTTTATCGCGCTCTGATCGGTTTATAATCTTATCTTTTCGAATGCGACCGACATTCGTAGCAGCAGCCAATTGCATAAAGGTAATCCGATGATTAGTCGGCCTAGTTTCGCGAAAGGTAACGAGCAGTATAGAGTTGGTAATGAGCCACAGTTCCGCTGAAGCCGCAAAATTGCCTACTTCCTAGCTCGCGAATGTACACGTCAAGATGTATGGGGGGCCACGATCGCGAGGATGACTAGGTCAGATCTGAGATATCCCCGGCACGAGGAGGTCGGGACCCGGGAGGATCGCGTGCTGAAACTCGTGCCAAGACTCGAGTAAATCGGCGATTACGGCGGCACGCACCTTACCTGCCATAGATTAATGATCGGCGCTTCCACTCCTACGCGCGTTTGCGGCCACTGACAATTTATATGACCGAGGAGGCGGCTGCCGGCTTTGAACCTCATCCTTAACTCATTGCGGCGTACGTTTAATTCCCCGCTGTGGGCGCTGCGGAGCGCTTATAAGTTTTGACGTCGCTTGAATTTTTTTAAAATACCCACGACGCCGTTCATTGCGGAACCGTTATAGCTTGCCATCGCGCTTTGATTAACTGCGTGCATGATAAATCGAGCCTTCCTCCTTTGTGTGATCGAGTCTTTCTCACGTTTCTAAACTGTCTGCATCTGTTGTAACATTTACTTTAACGTACTTTATCTTAGCAATTCTTAATTTAGAAAATTGTTAACGGATAAACCAATCGTTTGTATTTAACTATTGATGCCAAAAATAATTTGATCGGTTACTGATTAATGATTACGGATTATTGACGGACACAGCCAGATTGTTAAATTACGATTATCTCAATTTGATAGTATAAAATAATTTTTGTCATTGACAAAATGTTTTTCAAACTCGACATCTGTCGTACAATATAAATCGTTGAGCATCGCAGAGATTAGACTTGCATGGCATTCGTTATTTATTATGCTTTTGAAATTGATGGAGACCTTTACTCGACTTCCCAAGATGATAAGGACAATTCGCGCGACAGTCTCATCGCGCGGAGCCTCGAATCGTATTTAAATGAGATTTATGTATCCTCGATACCGGTCTTGAGCGGTGCGGTAAACGGTTTGCTGGTCCAATAAATAATTAAATGGTTGGTCGACTGAATCGCGAGCGATATATTTAGACGTCGGTGGTTGAAGTAACTGCATGGTAAATCGAGACGAATGCATTCGAGGCTATCGCCTTAACGATACGTCTGCTAGGTGAGAATTTAATGAACGGCCAATGTAAAATTTCCAAATAACTATTTTACTGACAATTGTCATCATTCACTCGCATTCTTACGATTTGAAAGTCCTGTCGATTAAATGATAATGCGAATATCACGATGATGACGCGATTATATATTTGCACACGATGTCGCAACGTGAGAATTCAATGTGGAGTTCGTTACGCGCGACAATGTCATTCCGTCGTAAACAGTTTCTACGAATGTATATGATCTACTTTAACTTTGTACGTTAAACGATATAGAAGTGTGGTGTACTATCAACTCTACTCGTCTCTTGGGCTATATACGATCCTACCATCTCGGCATTAAAAGACTCGTGTTACAGGATCGTGGAACTGCAATAAAATCCTGCAATGCGAATTTAATTGTTCTTCTCCACATTCGCACATAAATCTGTTCATCACTGTGCGTTTATTATACGGCGGTTTTTCCTTGAGAAAAATTTTTAAGTAAACGCGCAATCATTGATTTGACACGTAATGCGCGAAAAATGTGAGCAGTGTTAAGAATAATCAATTTCGAAATATTATAACATTTAGTTGCAATTTCTGTTCAACTATTTAATTTCATTATTTATTTATAATTTAAATATTTATATATACACACATCAGGAAGAAAATATTAAATTTTGATAAATATTTCTTTAAATAGTTCCAAGTAAATTAATATTTACTAAATGTAAACATATTAAATATTTAGTAATAATAAAAAACAATAGTTTGATTTAACTATAATTTTTAGCGAGTGTAAACGTTTATTTATTGTAAGTAAAAAAATGTTTACTTAGTATTATTACTTAGTAATATATATTACAAGATTGAGTGAATTTCTTTCAGTATAACGAAATTATAATTTCGGAGAAACGCATATTGCACATACACGACATTGACTCTCCTAACGTCTCACGTCTGTTACATATATGCAGATTCATGCGTCATTCGAACGTCGTGATTACTCGATCATACTAAGCTTTCTATTTCGATGTTTGTCAGACTAATGCGCGTTGCACCGGCTATCGTAACATTGTCGGCGCCACTTTTGATATAAACGAAACGCCAGTTTCGGTGACTATTAATGGATGGCTCGTGTCCGCTCGTTAACGAGCTCTCTCTGCCATCAGCGTGCAGCATCTCCGAGCGGCCGGCATGACGACTCTCCGTCTTCGTCTGACACGGCGCATTTTTGTCCGTGCGCGCGTCCACCGCGGGGAGAATCCGCGCGGGCGGATCAACGAATGACTCGATGTCGTGATATGTGAACCGACCGTAAAAGCGTCTTCTCGGCGGCCGTGGTAGAATTTCGACGTTCTTAACGACTTTCAGTTCGGTCGTTGTTCTGAAAACATGTCACGCGAATTCTTATCCCGCCGGAGCTTTGTTGTTACCTTCAAAAGATAAATTATCAGATAATTCGCGGTGGATTCTAACTCTGGACCAAGTTGCTCATTTTCTTCTCCGTAATCTCTTTATATTTGTACACTTCGTATCTTATCACTTTTACTTAATACACGCATGTGCTTGTACTTAAATATATTTTTGTCAGCATTTGAATAATTTTTATCGAATAAAATCATATAAATAGTACAATGATTTAATTCCGTGAAGAAATACTCCGTCGTAAAACGAATATTTTTTTTGTAAATTTTGTACTTTTTTTATAAATCGTAAAATACGCGCCATTGACTCCGAACACATTGAAATCACCGCGATCTATATAAAAATCATTTGCTAATTAATTTATTTCTAGTGTTTCTCGGTTTGCAATTCGTGTGAAGAGATTTGAACATTTTATAAAGCAACTTGGGACGAATTGACAATTTTTCCATTCGCGCACAGCTAAGAAATTTTAAACTGTATGTGCGGTTCTTTAATTGTAGGTGGTGATGTGCGGGGCGGTGCCGGCGATGGTGCGCTCCGTGAGTCTCTACTCAACTTGCAGCAGCGGCAATGTTACCGTAATAGGCCGCTCGATCAAAGCAGTGGGACGCGACGATTACAATGCACCCTACCGTAAGTAAGACCGCAAAAATCATTATGTCTCACTCATTGTTATAATAATTCAATTTAGATGCGATAAACATTTTTCTTTCAACGAAAAACATTTTTTTGTGATTATTATATTATACTTTGTTCATCTTTTTTCAAATTTTTTTCAAAGTACGTTTGTAGAAATAACTCTCTTGAAAGAAAATAAATTAAAAATGAAAAAGTTATTCGTGTTTATTGTGTATTACACAGGTTTTTATTTTTACCTTTTAAGAAAAAGATACATTCCTGTCGCGATCTATTAAAGTATTGTAGATCTTTTTTCTGTGAAAGATTTTTTTAGCAACTCTAAAATTTGCAATTATTTAGCTTAGTATAGTTCATAAAATTTATCGATTATTTTATTGATCATTGAACATATTTTACATATTTGTTATAGTATGATTTAATTATCTCTAAAATTAAAAAAGTATGCATAATGATAACATTATGGGGAATGAGATAATCAAATCTGTTAATTGAATCAATTTCGATCAGCATTTTTATCCCTCCAAGGGATTTTTATCCGGGAGTACGATGCGTTAAAGAACTCTAATTTACTACAATTCTTATCGATTGACCTCAGTCGGTCAGAAAGCTTATCTCTCTCGTTTTCGCTATCGAATGTCTCCACGGAGTCTTCCGGGATGAATTTCCATTTTTACGAACTAATAACTGCAGTCCTATTTCCGTGAGCAGTTTGCCGGACGCGCAAACGTTGGAGAAGAAACGAAGGGAGTAAAAACTGGGAGGACGACCACCGAGGAGTCTCGATAAATTACGACGTAATTTTACCCCGTCTTGATTGTTTTCGGCTAGACACCTTCGTCGTTTGTTTTATCGAGTGCATTTTGCCTTATTTCTATTTATTGGGCTCAGTTTTACGAGCAGATATTATTCAGAAATAAAAGAGAGTTCAGTTTTATTTTTCAAGCAGTTGAAAGTCTTCGACAAAATATATGGGACATTTATATAGATGCTTGCTTCTACTTGTATTTTATCACCTTCACGTAAATCCGCCATGAAAGCAGCATTTATTTATGGACAGGATGTTAAGATGATATATTTATTAAACGTTTGTCAAATGTGTCGCATTCTTGATTAATGTAATACTTAAACCGGGCAAATCGCTGACATATAGAATTATAATGATTAAACGCCTCTTTTGTGTGTCTTGCGCAACTCGTTCGTGTTAATTTGCCATTTTAGTCTGCTCTAACAATGTAAGGTCGAATTTTTTCAAACATAGAGGTGGAAAATTTGATCTGTGAAATTAATAATATCTAAATTGAAAACCGAAAGGTCTCTCTCTTTTCAACTTTACTATACATTATTATTTTTTATAAGTAATTTGATTGTGCATTAAAATAAATTTAGAACAATTCGAATGCAAAAGTTATTTATTTATTTTATGCGGCACAATATAGTCGTTTTACTCTCAAAATTTAGCAGTGCAAAATACCATTTTGTACATAGATATCTCTAATATATAATAGAGAGAAAAATTTCACGTTGTAGTTTAAATTTTATCAATTTCGATTATACGAGTCCTTCGCTGCTGAAATGTTCCTCTCGCGCAGTGATTCCTTTCGCAAACCCGCGAGTTCGCGGGAATTTTTGAGCGCGATATCCCGGACGAAACGAGCGAACGGGCTGTCCGCCCTACGCGCGGCGCGAGTACGAGGCGGTTCCTCTTGAGACGATTGCTGACGAGGTAGGGGACGAAAGGAAGGTTCGGAAGGAGGGAAGAAGGCGCTCGCTTGTGCAAACAGAGGAGCCAGTTTTCGCGCCGCACGCTGCGCGCCGCGTCTGCACCTCCCCGAGATCCATCACCTTCGCGTACCTCCTTCTCCTCCATCTCCTGCCTTCTTGCTTTTGCCTCCACCTTTTCCCCTCTGTTACTCTCTGCTCTCTCACCTCTTACGGCACTCAACTGCCGACAACGAGCCTCTCCTGACCAGCGATTACTCAAGCCCCTCTCGCGACTCGGAACGGCGTGTGCTGCTGCACGGGGGATTGAGACACTGTGAGAGAGTCCTTGAGGAGCCATGTACCAGGCTCCGAGATAGAAATCGCACCACGACAGATCTCCAGAAGCTCCGAAGCCTCTATAGCTTCGAGTTTTGTTGCTGATGTGGCGACTCAGGCCTGTTTTCTATATCAAATAGCAGACATTATTATACACGGTATTATAAAAATTCCATGATAGTTTACTAAATAAAATTAGAATCGTATAACGTATGGAGAACATGTCATGCGCGGTAATGATTTTCCGGGAATAGTTTTACATGTCGATACCGGTAGATAAGCAGGTAAAAGAATTACGTAATTATGGAGTAATACTTTTTGCGCTTGACGCATCTATTAATTTAATCGTTGCATTAATATACGATAATCATGTACTTGATATACCGAGCAGCGATTTAACTAGAACGATACTAGAAACGTGCAAGGGAAGATACGGGAATTCTGAGCCGAGCCGGAATGATAAATCATAATTCAAGTGCGTCAGTTAATAACACGATAATAACTATCATCCACAATCAAGGTAAATAATAATTATCGACTTTTTGTTACTCCGAGTTTTTTTTTTTTTTTTTTTTTC